GCAAAATTTAATTGAATACTTTCATTTTTATGTCATAAATTAAATTTGAAACCACGAGTTTGCTTTTTCTTCTGAGTGAATTCTGGAACTACATGTATGTGCTCAGCATAAACATGGTTACACGTAAAAGTACGGACATCCACTTCCTGCGTAGCTACCTATAGCAATCGCGTTGATCTTTTTTTTTTTCAGATCGGAATTGAACTTAGGGGTGGCACAGACAGGGTTCACAGTAGTAAGATATTACAGACCAAGTGATGAAAATGAAGCGAATGTCAGAGTAAGTGCCTTTGTGAATTGGACGTGATTTACTTGTTTTCTTGTTGTGAAAAAGACAGCAGCGGATTTTCATGTCTTTGTTTTTGATCAAGTCGACAATTATTTTATGAGCAGTCATAGATTAAATCATTTATCCATAAAATATTTACTCCGTCCATTTCTATTATCACAGGGAAGTAGTTTTATACGCCTTTTTCACAAAGAACTTGAAGCATACCTTGTCGCAGAGGGATTGTTTGGTGAACCCGTACAAGAAGAGGGTTTGTAGATTGCATATTCGTAATTAAATATAATTAAGCCTTTTAATCCGCTAAAACGACAATCATTTTTAAAATTAAAAGTAATCTTTGGATAGCGTGGTAATACAAGTGGTATTTTGTGACTCTGGTACTCAAATTTTTCAAATGTAGCGTTGATTCGTCCCATGGTATTTGTCAACATCGATTGGACGTAGAAAGACCGCATTGATAGCGTAGCCCCGTGCTCTTTCCCGTCTAATTACTGTTAGTGGTAAAACATGTTGTCAGTCCTCTAACAGCCAGCAAGTAGTGTGTATAAAATGATACGTTAACCAAACACATTGAAACGACACTCCCAACGGGGACGGAAAGGCATTTTCTTAGTATAGTTATTCATACATTTTGCATTGCAGTCCATCTACGGATTAGAGAGATTGACCAGCTGAACCCCCGGACGCTCTCGCCACCTAATTCCGCCATCACCTACTGGCAGGTCGAGCCTGAGGATACCATCCTTAATGGTTTGTTAGAAATATTCTTAATGGTCTCTGTCCTTAATTGAGTGAAATATGTATTTTAAGTTTGTCATTTGGCGCTAGTACATTTGTAGTCTAGTTAGTGTCTAGGCGTAAAGCTAAGTTATCGTGGTTTACTAATGGTATCCATCCATTTAGAGCTGGCGACTTACGTCCTAAATATAAGTGTGTTTTATCGACTTCTTAGTCCAGAGTTCAAAACTGCCACACGCGATTACGAGCATTTTCGATATTTCCGCACGCTTTTTACAGATTCACCGCTGTCCTACCCCCCTGCCTTACACATTTCTCCAAAACTCGCCAATAAATCCTTCAACATTACCGTTTTTTTGTAAGTTTCTCCACATACTTACAGTTTCCCTACTTTGCGTGTTTTTCATCGACAGCGAAGTGGGAAAACTAAATTGGTAGTGTTGTGGGATTTATCGGTGGGTTGTGAAAAAAAATGTTAGAACGGAGGGGGGGGGGCAGTAAATCTGTAAAGATTTGTGAAAACAACGGTAATGCTCATACAAATAAATCTTGTGTGGTGGTTAGCGAGCCCTGACCTCCAGCCACATGCTTTTATTAAAATTTGACTGAAAAAGGCTGTCTTTAGATATTGAGAGTATCATTTGGCGTTTTTGTACCTATATTCCTTTTCTCACGTCTTGTAAATATATATATATGAGAAATAAACTAAATGTATACTTAAAATTAGTTACGTACTCTAGATATACTTTATAATCTGTGAATATCAGGTGGGGTTGTTAGATGGGAACAGCAAGTGCGGTTGCGGCACGTCACAACCAGAAGATTCCTGTGTCTGGATGCGGATTTTGAAGTGTGCCTAACAGCCGAGGAAAACGATCCGCGGTCGGTATTTAGATTCCATCCAGTGCTATCGGTAAGTTTCACCCCTTCCTTTAGCCTTATAGTCTCTTGGTTACACGTCAAAATGATATAGACTGTATTGATAGAAGAGAAAACGTTTCTCTTATATTATGTAGGTTAGTGCTTCTTTGTGCAAATGTGATTGTTTATCATTTTAGAACCCATATATAGGCAGTTCAGTTGTACTGGCGTCACTCGCATAGCTGAGCCTTGACGACATAGGCTTCGTTTTACATAGGCTTCTGTTTCCATGTCTATTGTAGAATTGCTAGACATTCATCCTCCATGTAGTGCCATTAAGGATGTTCTATAGTTGAGTGTAACTACCACCAGTCTCTTGCCAGCTTCTTTTGAGATCACTTGCGAGTGACTCTCCGACAGACACTCAGCTATCCTTCCACTGGAGAGTGAAAGTGGTCCATTTTTTTCTCGTTCACTTCATAATGCACCGATTATTGTTTGCCCTATTATTTGGTGTGTTACTTCGAAGAAGGAGTAATATGTGCGTGCGCGCGCGCGCACGAGTGTGTGTATGAATAATAATTCTGACTTAAAGTATCGCAGTAAGTCTATGACACAAAAGACAACCTATCTCTGTCGGTGTAACATGAATAAATACTGTATGCTGCGTCAATAATTGGTGGTTTATGAATATATCAGTGAATTCCATCGCTTTCCCTCTCCAACGGAAAATAAGCTGAGAGGTCCTGCCGAAAACGACATTTGGCGGAAAGGTAGCTGAAAGTAGTTGTGGGAAATATGCAATCGCAGCTCTCTCTGAGAGTTGCCGTCAATGAATTTCACTCACAAGTGGGATGTATTTCACTAGTTATTTCGGGACTTAGAGACTCGTGGCGGTTACTTTCAGCGGAGAATCACCCTTACAATTACATTTGTTCCATTAGATCAGAAAAAATGACCACCACTGTCACAATTACGTTTTTTTTTTTTTTGAAAAGGAATGTAGATGGGCAGGGATTGATATCGTTGCTTTTGTTGTAACTTTTATCGATGTATACATTTGACTTGTCTAGAGAGTCAGCTACTGTTAAAGAGTGTGCGCCTACTTTCACGTATATCTTAATAAAGCTCAACACGCATTATTATGCAAAACTCCGCAAAAAATCTTTCACTTTGCCTCTATGAATATGAAGCTGAGAGAACAAGATTTGGACCCGGACACACCGGTAAGCTGTTATGAAAGTGACAGTGATTGGGCTGGGTTCTGCCGCTTTTTTTCATGAACCACAAGTGTGATTTTAATAGCATTTTAGCTCTGGTGTGTCGTTCTTGACGATAACATTACCGATGCTAAGCCGAATTTGGCATATTACTGCTCACTGCTGATAGTCATCAAGTGGGATAACGTGTCAACTATATGCTTTATTCTCCAAACTTTAGAACATTTTGTATTTTTTCTGGAAATGGTGGCACTTAAAACGCCCTACAGCCATTTGTCTTCATTAATAAATCATAAGTCCACAAAGCGAGCACCAATTTTCTAGGAACTTCACCTTAACTTGTTACTAATTCGTACAAATGTCACACAATAACTGTTAGATCTATAGGAATAAAATAATTTTGAACTTAGTTCAGATGTCTGTTAACCCAGATGACTAAACCACAAAATCAACTTAATGCTGTAACTTTTCACCGTTCTTCCACAAGAGGAGAAGTCAATTCCTTCAACTTTAGTCGGGCTTCTGTAAACTGTTTCCTTTAATTTAGCTTCCATTAATATCATTTGGAGTGTAAGTTTACTAACCCTTAAACAAGATGGTACCAATTTTTGTTCGGTTTCCCTTAGATGAAATAAGTAGCTATATTGAAATTTACAGATCATAAGCACTTTTCCTCGACAGCGCTGTAGTGTTTTTTAATTGTCAGAATCAGAAGTGTCCACTATGAGAAATAATCACCCACGCCAAGGCCACCCCTAGGGCTTATTTAACCTTAAATATGTGCTACAGAATTGTTAACAGGTCGGGGTATATTGTTGAGTGTGAATTATGTATACCGTTACCCTTACACTTCACTTATAGCTCCTTCCAACCCCGCCGTTATAAACCCAAAACAGCACGTTTTGAGCAGTAAGGTCTTGATGCTTTTCTTATAATTTACGCTAACGGTGGATTAAAATATGTACCATTTATTTGATTTGTGTCATTGTGACACGGAAAAAGTGGCGCTTCTTTGAAAAAAGCGTCTGCAGTTAGTCTGTCCTTCATTATATTCCGTTACTACATATTCAGGAGGGACTTGACAAGCGTCCAATGTATAGCAGCATGCTTGGATGCGAGATGCAATCCTTTAAAACCCAATGTTTTTGTTTGTCTTTCAAATGCTTTGCATTGGCTTAACGTTTTGCTGTATGCTTTTTTGTATTTCAGCTGTCGGATTTTGTAAGTAATTACTTGATAGGTTGCCCAATTGCACGCTATCCCGTATTTGTTGATGTCGTAGATCGAGTAGGCATGCTAGTTTTCTCTAGAATGGACCATAATTTAGTTTTAGAATATAGTTCTAGAATATTTAGAGGCTGGAATCCATAACCAAACTTTATTACGGATGTTTAGAAAGAAAAAAACAATAGGGGATAAACGTTATTTCAGTGACGCTTTAAGTTTCACATATTATCGAAGGTTTAGTTGGGCAGCTTCCCGAACTATACAAGTTAGTTACTTTTAGAATGCTTCGACAATTACAGGCAAAGCATGTTTTAATGTTCTTTGAAAAATATTGTTTCGCATTAGAAGATGGTCACAGTAAAATAATGAGGTTTTGAGTTATATAATGCCTGTAGAAGGTATATTGTGGTATATTTGAATTTTGTATTGACTATTAAGGTGTCGGGTTTCAATGAGAATGGCGAATGTTGCCTGTGACTGCTCCTATTTTTAAGAATCCCTCTACAATTTCTAAGCATTGGCATGAGTTTTAGGAATTTGAAGTCGCCTTGACAGCAGATGCATTATCTTGACACTTGTTTTCTTTTGTTTGGAATATTTTGTTTGATTTTGGACTATTTTCATGACCCGATTTTGGATTGTATGCAACTATAAACACATGAAGTGTTTTGCATGTTTTGTACTGTACCCCCGAACCAATTTCTGAATTTTGACGCTATTGGTACTAACATGGTCAACGCAATGGTAGCTACTTACCTTTTCCTTTAAAAAAACACATCCCGTGTTTCACCAACAATTTGGGAATATTAATACTTTCCCTCTTAATACTAATAGTGTTTGTTTAAAATAAAAAATGACATTTTGTTTGATTTAGATATAAGGAATTCGCGTATTGTGTTGTATTTATGCCAAAAAGACAGATGTAAGACGTCAGATTGTGCATTTGGAATAGTTTTATTGCATATCCATTCCCAACAGCATATTAAATAATATTTTCTTTGCTGATGTTGATATTTTTGCATATTTGCTCATAAAGTTGCCATAATATAATGAAGCTATTGAAAAAAAAGTAATTTAAGAAAGAAGTGACGTGGTTTGTTGACCTTAGCAACCCGTAACATTTTAGCATTTTATCAAATATTATAATCTATTTAATTTTACACATATTTTATCTGTAAATGCATCTTGGCATCTTAGCATTGCATTCATTAATATCAATATTTTTGCATATTTATCTGTAAATGCATATATTTTGGGTTAATTTTGTAATAATTTTATTAAAATTGTCTACGGTAATGCATAACACAAATGTTTGTACAAGTACAGTTGATTGAATTGGATTGAAAATTTAAAGAAGTGATTTTCTGATTCAGGTGTGTTATTCTGTTCTGTTCACTCTTATTATAATCTAATCTAATCTTTAATAATTATGTTTAACAGGAACAAAATGAGATAGACTTCGAGAGTTACTGCCGGATTGAGCACGTTTTGACAGGAAATTGGTTACACGCTCTGAAAGGTAAAAAAGGGGACGTTTTATTTCTTTGACCCCCTTAAAACTTAAAAAAGCTGCAAATGGAAACTTGTTTCATATGTGATCCCATTTCAGTAATCCCTCGGCGTTTTAGCACGCGCGCTTGCGCACACACACACACACACACACACACACATTATTTACCTTTGTCAAGTGACGTAATGTCATAAGGAGGTTTTCCATATATCTTGTGAATAAAATTTTTCTTTACTTACTTTTTAGATGAACCGTATCAACGGAGGCGTGATATGGGCCGTGAAAATGATCGCAGCATGCAGGCACTTAGGTGGGATGGGGGAGAGGTTCGCAAGGTACCGTGAAACACCAGTTCACCTTCTGTTTAGTTGTTCACTACATTGCACATAAAAAGAATAATCAATTTCAAGTAATATTTTGGATTAATATTAACTCTAATGATATTGTTAAATTCATGCAAGATCTCATGGATATCGTTATTTGTCTATTCCTCAGATATCTTCGACAGAAAACCGGCGTTACGTAGACGTGTTCACAATACATGAAGTGGAATGGGAACAGATCTACAGTGCTAACTTTGTCGCTGGAATGGTGCCCTTCTTGTCAAAATTGATAGAATCGGTAAACTATTGACCTTGCAAACTTTTGTGTCTGTTCGTTGGATATCATTTTGGGTTAAACGACTTAAAACGATGTACTTCTATCAATGGTTAATTTAACACATTACAAAAATGGTTTGTTAATAAGTTTTACTTAGTTAATGATTGAGATACCTGTATATAGGCTTTCATTATTTTTTTGTTTCTAGCGTGAAGAATGTGATTATCTCAATGCGATGAAAACGCACCAAATCACAACTGTAAGTACAAAGAAATAACAGTGTCTTAGGAATTGTATTGATGTACTGTAGAGGTGGGCCAAAGCATCCCATTCAATTAGGTCAATAATTCATGATCAAATGACAAACATACTCTCTTTGAATATTTCATCTTACAAAAAGGTCACGTTTGACAGTTGTTGTGTTCTCAATATTTGTAGGCGCTCCAGGAATTGAAGCAGTTCATGATCATCAATGGCGAAACATACAAAGATCACCAGAAGTTGATGAGGAATTTCAGGGTAAATAAAAAGTTTTAAAAACGTTACCAAAACGAACAGTTTATTCCAAAAGACACCGAGCATTAATTGCTAGCATGTTTTATTTGGGATGTTAACTGAAAAATCAAAATCAAGATAATTTGCACGAATATCTTAGTTTTGGATCTTGTATATTCATTTTTAGTGTGCTCTTAACCGTTATATCCTTATTTTTAACAACGAACCCCTATTAAGACTATATTGCTTTATTTGGTTTCCAGATAGTTGACCTACTTGTACAGCTGCTCCAGAGTCCACTTCAAGATGCCCCGGACAGCAACTACCTTCTTAGCGTATTCAAGGAGGCGTATGACATCTTGTATACTTACATGACCGGAAACAGCAGGAAGAACGCGCTCTACTTCGCTAAGTACATCGAGTTCTTTCAAACGCAACTGAGCCTAAAGGTAACTACTGATAATTAAATGTGACATTTGTAATAGTAATTACTTTTGCATAAGACCAGGGACAATCACATTTTAGTTAGACGCACTCAGTGCTGCTTATTTTACGCCAAATGACAAGGCAACTCACCGTACGGAGCGTGCATGTTTGTTTCTAATTTGCTCAGAAAAACAAGGACATAATGCTGGTGCTATCTTATAATAAAGATTCTTAACATTTTAATCGGGAGTGTTGCCCTCAGCGTTAAGTGTACATTTGAATGCGCCCTTTTTAAATTAGAATAATGAGGTAATGCACGGTTACATCTAATATGTTATTAATGTACAGGCGTCAACCAGCGTTATGATAAAGCAATACCATCTGGTAGTAGTGGATCCTACTTTAAAGGTTACGTATACATAATTGGAGTTAGAGTTGCCATTTTGCAGATAGCTATAGCTGCATGGCAGTGAACGTTTAGCGGGGGTGCAGATAGCATGACTTTACTATGTTCCTATATTGCTTGTATTATACGGCGTAGCATCCAGGCATGTTAGGCATGGTATGCAAGCGGGGAATGTCCAGTTTTATGGTGGACATGCAAATGCATCTAATTTTTATAATCATTATTAATATAAACGCTCGTTATTTGTACTGATATTGTTATCTTACATAACAGAAGATTTTCTGCGCTGCTGTATTTATTACATTTATGTAGCTAAGCGTTTCTCCCTGTGCGCATCTATATTCAACATGGCATAAGATTCGGCTGCGATCGAAAGCATTTTAGCGTTGCGTGTTTTATTGTTACAATGTGTTGATTTTGGTTCAGTTTTCAGTAGTTGTTTTGTGAGGTCTTTGCAACTGGTATTACATGTTTGTTGTTATGCAACGACAACGACAAATTAATCATCGAAAACAGAAAGTGTTTTCCTACAAAAGTATGTAAAATTTTGCCATTTGAAAAGTGTGGCACTAAGTATAACTAACCAGCCATTCATGCAGTATGCCTTCAATTAAAAATAAAAAACAATCAATATCGTTTTCATTTTCTAAAATTCTTACAGAACTTGATAAACACTTTAGTTTACCGAAATGGTTCTGTTGATCCCCTCTCATAACTACGTAACGGTATTGCGTAGTTAGGGTGATTAACTCTGACGTGCGTTTTCGTGTCAACGATTTGCTATAATTTCAGCAAATGTTTCTGTTTTTTGTCTTGCTTCAACGTTTGTATCGTGTCTGTTTGTGACGTTAAAATTCATGGCTATTTTTGTTCAAACTTTGTAACATGAATGAATCTCAACGGTAAGTTCTTGCATGATATTTGCCTATTATATACGGATGGAGGATGTATTATTCCAAGACATATATGGCGGCACAGTGTGGCAGCACCATCTGCATGGGACTACGTCGACAGTTGTGATTAGTGTAGACTTTCGTGTTGGTGATATATGTAACGCCGTTTTGTTAATGTGACATCGTTGTTATCTGATATATATATTGATATTATTATTTTGTATTTATATTTTCTTTATTTAGTTTTTCGTTTAATAAAACATACACATGCGTTGAAGTTCGACCTAGGATTGACTGAGAATGATTTTGAATTTCTCGAAAAATGTGTCGTTTCAGAAAAGCTTGAGGATATCTTATTGAAAATATTACAACGCGTTCTTTTGCAGTATTCTGTATGGATATCAAATTTGCGCAGTACTCCGAAATGGTTGAACTTTATTTTTTCATTATTTTTTTCAGGGCGACATTGGTTTGAATGTAGCTCAGATGTTGGTGGAACTGATCCGCGATAACAGACAGATCGTGGACAGAATTACACACGAACAGATAGATATATTCGTTGATCTTCTTAGACAAAGAAAGGTTAACATACTATGTATTTACACACATTAATAGACCCTGTTATATATTTACCATATATCTGCGTAGATCCACACTTAAGCATCCCATGATCACGGTCTTTGTTAATGAGCTTCGTATTTAAATCTTATATGATACCATGGATGTCTTACGGAACGAAAATACTTCGACATTTAAAAAAGAGTGGATGTTTCGGAAGGACTATAGTTGTGTATGCTGTATTTTAAAAGCAGATCAGAATATTAAAAGAAGTTCCTAAAACGTATACTCTTCGTGCTATTAATTACACGGAAAACCACTTTAATTGTGTTATGTGTTTAATTGTGTTATGGTGATATTGTTAATTATAAATCTATTGAATCCATATTACAGAACTACCGTTTCTTGGACCTGCTGAATGTCCTTTGTGTATGTGATGGCAAGACGATCCTGGAGAATCAGTCCTACATCACGGAAACCTGGCTACGACATGACAAGGTATCTTTTGATGCTAAAACATGTCATATACACCTTACCGGGGTAAGTTGAGCCTTTATGTTTGAGATTTGAAAAAAATCGATCCTGTTACCAAGGTAACGGCTTATCCAATTGGAAACCTAGGAGAGATTAAGCTTTTGCCCCCCCCCCCCCTCCCAATTCAAGCGCTTTGTCAACACGCACGCACACACATACACACACACACACACACACGTTAATTCCGTATATTGGATAGAACTTTTTTTTTGGGGGGGGGGGTTTAACTCGCCTTATTTAAAAGAGGTATCACAAATTTAACAGTTTCGATCTCTCTTACGATTTCAAATGGATGGCCCAAAGATAAATCTGTTTTATGTTTTATTCATGTTATGTGGTGTCATTTGATTTGTGACTGTGTTCTATAACCTTCATTTAGTCACTCAGTTATATAAATCATACGTCCAATTAGTGCCTGAACCGTGGTTTGTTATACGGTGTAGTAAAAGTTATTTACAGGTTTTCTCTTATATGTATTGTTTTTGTCTAGTGTCACATACTTACTAATTCTCAATGTGCATGCCTTTATAGAGTTCATATTGCGTATACTACCAAAAGCCAACTGAAGCTGAGACTAACTTAGGCCTATGCTTACAGACGGTTTCAATTCGTTATCACATTAATTAACGCAATCAATAGAACCCTGCCGTACCTCAGCAGTCACGTTAGCGTACCGTTTGTACACTGTGTGTCTACATGTAATATGTATATTGTGTTGTTCTGTATATTGTGTGTCTACATGTAATATGCTTATGTTTTGCTGTGGATGTTATTTATCTGTGTGTGGATTTCTTGGCTCAACTTGCCCAAGCAAATAAAAGCAATGGACTGATATGGGTGTTAAGAGAGATATTTTTCATGCATCTTTTAAATTTTCAGCATTTATTATTTAAGTTACGATTCAATTTTGATTTTACAGGCAGACGTATATTTGATCGAGAGAGGCCAATACATACACAAAGAACATAATGTTGTGTACATATCCACGGACGCTGGTCACACGTGGGTTCCCCTCCACCAGTTTGCCAATGTAAGAAGCCTGGCGTTTTGAACGAAAGACGATAGATTTCTATGCCACATAAAGACCTGTAGTATTTAACATTACGAAGCTATTTTTATTGTGAAAAAATCACCCTACTCCACGCTACTTCCTTCCTACTGATGATTTATATTATGTTAAAAAAGATATTTTGATGGACTGAATGTAATTTTTTTTTCTAATCCATTCTACAGGCAGACAGTCCGTACTACAGCGAGGAGGAATACCTGTATCTTGACAGACAGTTGGATCTGTTGGGGAAACTTTGCAAAGTAAGTTAGTTTTGCCATTTGTAGTCTGCATTAAGAAAAGACATACATACAGCCCTATTCACAAGTAAGACACCAAAATAAAAGCACATCCCCTTTAAAGACAAGACTGCTATTGCGCGACCGACGAATGTTTTACTGATGTCATTGATGCCATAGCCAAAAGCATCGATCAAACTGCGAATACCTGTTTTTTTTTTCAGGGGAGGAATCAGTTCTCAATCCGGGTTATCACCAAGGACTTGGACATCCTTACATGGGAGAATACGTTTGTATGCCTCAGGTCGGAGCTCCTCCCGCCGTCATTAAGGGCCAAATACTGCAGTCTCATCATAGGTACATTGTCCAGTTTCTAAAAATAATACAAATATTTAAAACTGAAATGAATTTACCACTGAGGCATGTTATTAAAAAAAA